CCAATGTAGTCCACACGAAGATAACTCCAAGGAACTAGAAAGGGATTTGCTAGATCCTCTTTAGCCTTAATAACCAAGAAGAAATCAAGCAAACTTTGATTTCAATCAAAAATACAAACTGGCGTGAGAGAGAAAAGAAAGGGGCTGGAATTTTATTTCATTGATTTGAATGAATAATTTAGTTTAATTCCCAAAGTGTTGCCCTTATATAGTGCACACTTTGACCTATTCGTTTATGGAATAGCCTTGGGCTCTAACCCAAACACCCCTTGTATCCAAACAGCCCCATTTAGATGTTTTAATAATTATTATTGTTATTTCAATTAAATTCAATTAATATATATATTTCATATATTAACATTTAATAATAACAATAATTCATTTAAATATATGCGAACACATATTTAAATATAATTTCACTTATTTAATTTTATTAACAAATTAAATAAAGGCTACGACCTTAGCAAATTTAATTGCACTATAAAATTACCAAAATACCCTTTCGCCTAAAAAGACGAAAACGCCATTCTTGTAAACTGGTTCTCAAATTATCTTCTATGTGTGTGACCCGTAGGCTCCTCATCATACCGATAGTGTGTAGTATTGCGATCAACACCAATTAATCGTCTCACTACACACAGACCAAGATTGGCCCCTAGCAAGGCATCATGGCCACTCGATAGATTCGAATTCAGCGAAATAGCTACCTGTCAATAATATGGTTACCGTGCAATCTGATCCTTTCATCATCTGTTATCTCTACGAGACCGAGGCATAGAAATAATATCAACCTCGGTTACTCTCGATATGTATGTATTCAGTTACTGGACTAATGACCTGAATAATAATCTAAATAGAGCAACAACTCAATCCCACTGTGGCCACAGTTTTAGTGTCATTGTCATTTACTGAATTGTGCCGTGAGATAACTTCTCCCATACCCAGGAGTGATGAATCATCTGTCTATCCACCATAGTATTGATACTCTCCTTGATGCAGCCAATCACCATCGTATTGACAGCTCAGAATAGAACTGCGTTAGGCTAGTGTCAAACTACACCAATCGGTGCACAAGGCGCTCTAGTGATCTCAAGTCTAATGATCACATGCACCACCATTCGTTAGAGGATTTGTTCTATAGACACTGGGGTTACCATCCATATGGAATCCTCTGGTGGATCAGTCTAGTGAACTTGCCTACAGCAAGCACTCATGTGTTGCACCAGGTTGTCACCAAACAACCTTGACAAGTGAGATCAGTCACTACCTTTCGACAAGATCGTTCAACACTATGATAGTCTTACCATATTTTAACTGTGCCCTTACTTCAGAATAATACTAGGGCTACAGACGTTTCTAGAATGGCCACCATATGTGTTCATAGGGTTCTCACTATCAATATTTGAAACACTTAATATCCTCGTCACGGTTCTATCATTCTAAGGACATATATCAATACATACAATGATGATTTACACGATATAGAATAAAATGTCTTTTATTGATCAATGAGCATTATTACAAAGAGTCAATTCTACAATAATTGATTGGCTCTAGGGCACCTACTCTAACATGTCGTGGTGAGGGATTGATTGTTGGTTTTGATATGTTTATGGAACAAGAATCAAGTATTACCCTAGGGAAGTCATAATTGGATTGTTACTTAGAGGAGAAACTTTTGCCTAGAACTCTCGACTTTGATGTATTGGCTTGGTGGAAGTTAAATGGGCCTAAATATCCTATCTTGTAGAAGATTGTTGGAGATATCTTTGCTATTCTTGTCTCTATAGTTGCTTTTGAATGTGCATTTAGCACTGGTGGAAAGGTAGTAAGTCCACATCGCTATAGGCTTCATTCTGATACATTAGAGACATTGATGTGTTATCAGAATTGGTTATGGGCTGATATAAAAGGTAATCGAATCAAATTTTTATTCTTCAGCAATAAAAAATAAAAACACATCTTCAACATTAATAAAAATTTATTAAATTGTGTTAGTCTTTAATGTACATTTTTTATTCTTATGTTAGGCCAAGATTCTTATTCAATAATTTATGATGATAGTGATACAGAAGATGAGGTATAAATTAATTATAACAGTATGGTGAGTGATTTTTGTATTTTTGATGGTTTGTGGGTTTTTAAAAATGATAGAAAATTTTCTCAAGAATGTATTGAAAAAGGAAAAATAAAAAATAAAAAATCAAGGAGGTTTTTAATACGTTTTCCGAAAGTTTGGGGGCTTTGAAATCTATTATATCTTTCAGGGAGGTAAATGGAAAAAGGCCTTAAGCAAAAATTACAAAAAGGTGGTTGTCCAACTGAGAGGGGCTTTGCAGGCGTTAGTGAGCTCACTGAGAACCGACTGCTTATCCATCCACTGACGAGCGGGACGTATTTGCCGCTCTGTGAAACCAGTCTCACGCTGTGAGCTCCACTTTCCTAGCAGCCCAGGCCTTCGGCCAAGTCGTTTTGTTCAACTCTCAACTTGAGTCGAGCAGGCCAGTATACAAGTCAACAAGCCCGACCTGTAAAGTCCAGCCAATGTCCACCCACCTTGATATAGAAAGCCCAAGTTACCGAGTTCGGCTATAACAACCTTGGAGCAGCTCATTTATTAACTACAGTTTTCTCATGTGCTTTCTGGATATGGGAAAGGTTGTCCATTTGAAGTAACTTTGATAGAGCTCATTTTTTTCAGTGCAATGTATTAAAATATTATAGGATTGTCTTATTGAATAGTACGGATTGGAGTTACGTAAATGAAGATGAAGTGAGCCTGTTGGTGATGGTAGGGAATGGGGTAAACTTTATGTGTGGACTAAATTTGAGGAAGGCTGGTAGATTTATGGCATAGATTGTGATGGCGGGATTGTTATTCTTGAATGGTATCTGTCGGCTAGATAGTCCAGTACGGATACGAATGTATACGTGTTCCATTTCTAACCTTATATCCTCTGTTTTGATTAATATGAATTGAACCCCAGTTGGGTTTTATAAATTAAATTTATTAATTAATGTAGCATCTCTTACCGAACTAGCCAGGCAAAACATGTTACTGCAGTTTGGTTCTGGTCATTTCATGGCTAATATATCGCACTGATTGATGCTTAATCATTTTGAAAAATCAACTACAACTTGCTATGACACTATCACATGGTTAATGAAGAGATAGGTACCAACACAATGACTCAATACAGATTATGTTTAATATTAATGGTCTTTTCTTGAAGAAATTAACAAAATGAATTATTGATGGTATAAAACCATTGAAAGATACATTTGATCATATTGTTGAAAATTTGATAATCATCCTGTAGATTTTTTTGTTATTAACATGTCAATCTAACTGAAAATTTAAGCAACATGATATCATATCCACCATTAATATGGAAAACAAATAAATATTAATGTATCGATATCATACCTACTGTTAGACATTTTATTAGAATTCAATTAGGTCACACCACAAGTAACGGCCTACCCCTTTTAACATCTTGCATATTTGACAACTCTACTTATACAAACTATTTTCTCACTAAACCCACCACCCTACTTCCCTCTCAATTTACAAATTCCATTTCTTCTTTCTTAGCTACCTAATTTCAGCCATTGGTTACTTGAAGCTTCTTCATGTTATGTTTCTTTCATGTTAAGTTTCTTTCAGTTCAGTTGGGTAGCTTTAACAAATTCTTGCTGTCCCTAAAAGAAACTACCATGTATTCTCTACAGCTTAATGCTTCCAGATTTTNGCCCGACCTGTAAAGTCCAGCCAATGTCCACCCACCTTGATATAGAAAGCCCAAGTTACCGAGTTCGGCTACAATAACCTTGGAGCAGCTCATTTATTAACTACAGTTTTCTCATGTGCTTTCTGGACATGGGAAAGGTTGTCCATTTGAAGTAACTTTGATAGAGCTCATTTTTTTTCAGTGCAATGTATTAAAATATTATAGGATTGTCTTATTGAATAGTAAGGATTGGAGTTACGTAAATGAAGATGAAGGGAGCCTGTTGGTGATGGTAGGGAATGGGGTAAACTTTATGTGTGGACTAAATTTGAGGAAGGCTGGTAGATTTATGGCATAGATTGTGATGGCGGGATTGTTATTCTTGAATGGTATCTGTCGGCTAGATAGTCCAGTACGGATACGAATGTATACGTGTTCCATTTCTAACCTTATATCCTCTGTTTTGATTAATATGAATTGAACCCCAGTTGGGTTTTATAAATTAAATTTATTAATTAATGTAGCATCTCTTACCGAACTAGCCAGGCAAAACATGTTACTGCAGTTTGGTTCTGGTCATTTCATGGCTAATATATCGCACTGATTGATGCTTAATCATTTTGAAAAATCAACTACAACTTGCTATGACACTATCACATGGTTAATGAAGAGATAGGTACCAACACAATGACTCAATACAGATTATGTTTAATATTAATGGTCTTTTCTTGAAGAAATTAACAAAATGAATTGTTGATGGTATAAAACCATTGAAAGATACATTTGATCATATTGATGAAAATTTGATAATCATCCTGTCGATTTTTTTGTTATTAACATGTCAATCTAACTGAAAATTTAAGCAACATGATATCATATCCACCATTAATATGGAAAACAAATAAATATTAATGTATCGATATCATACCTACTGTTAGACATTTTATTAGAATTCAATTAGGTCACACCACAAGTAACGGCCTACCCCTTTTAACATCTTGCATATTTGACAACTCTACTAATACAAACTATTTTCTCACTAAACCCACCACCCTACTTCCCTCTCAATTTACAAATTCCATTTCTTCTTTCTTAGCTACCTAATTTCAGCCATTGGTTACTTGAAGCTTCTTCATGTTATGTTTCTTTCATGTTAAGTTTCTTTCAGTTCAGTTGGGTAGCTTTAACAAATTCTTGCTGTCCCTAAAAGAAACTACCATGTATTCTCTACAGCTTAATGCTTCCAGATTTTGGTAAATTTCCCGCTGCTGGGTCATTTTCATTTTTTCTTTTTGTAGTTTAGTGCTTTCAGCAACCTGCTTTTTGTTTTTGTGCAACCAAATTTCCAAAAAAAAAAACTCCATGGCTATGATTACCATAACATCAAACTGTAAGACAAGCCTCTCACAAACACTGCCCTATGGAAGTAACAATAACAAGCTTCGCGAGGCTTCATTTTCTTCATACCTGAACAGCGCCGAAGAGACTTTTGTACGTAAACTTGCAGCGTCAAGTCCTATAATGGGTGGCCAAGACGACAATCTTTGCTCAGAAAGAAAGGGACAAAAAGATGGAGAGATTGGAGTATTTAGTGCTGAGAAATACTTTAACGGAGCAATGGATGACAGTCCGAGAATTGTCAAAGTTGGTGCAAGAAACTACCCTTACGTGAAAGATCAAGAACGAACTGATCCAACTCTAGTGAAACCAAGAATTCAGGCAGCTGGAACTCCAAGCGTTCGTTCTGAATCAAGTTGGAACAGCCAAACTGCTTTACTGCAGAGTGTTCTGAAGCATAATAATCCTAATCCTAATCCTAACCCATCTATGAAGAACACAAAAAAGCTACAAGGGAATAGGTTTTTCGCTGGTCTCAGATGTAAATGTTATTGTTCTGATAAAGATTCAGTTGATATCAATGAACATGGTGGTGAAACCAATTTCAAAAGAAGTGCTGACAACGGTACAGTTCAATCCAAAACAATAAACACTACAGAACCGATGAGCAAACCTGCAGTAAAAGAAAACTGCTTTAGTTTTCCGAGTATGAGTTCTGAGACCATTAAAATACATTCTCAAGAAATTGAAGAAGAAAAGCCAAGGAAGTCAATTGAGGTGTTTGGTTGCCCTATGGTTGAAAAGAGAAACAAGTCTTTAAGCGTCGAGAGAAGGGAGACGATGTTATGCTGGGAGGATGCAAGTCCAAGAAGAGAGGAAATTGAATTTTCAGCAACAAGTCATGGTGATAACTACTTCGAAACCGAGAGTGATGCAAGTTCAGACTTGTTTGAAATAGAGAGCCTCACAGGGAAAGGCAAAGGCAACCCTTTTCTTGCAAGGCAAGGATCAGATGCCACATCTGGTTGTGTCACTCCAACAGCTTATGCACCCAGTGAGGCGAGCATCGAATGGAGTGTAGTCACTGCCAGTGCTGCAGATTTCTCAGTCATGTCAGATTGCGAAGAGGTAAGAGCCGCAGTAACTGCAACAAGTCCTGTGAAAACGTTTTCAAATATTGCTAAAACTAGGAGTATTACAGCTGAGTTACCAAAGGTTAGACGTCCAAGTATTTTGTTGGGTTGTAAGAATGAGAAGGCTGTTAGAGTTGCAGGAGATGCACATTTGACTAGTCCAAATCAGAAGGCAAATAATAATTATGAGCCAAGAATTCGTCGAACGTCTGATTCATTTGCATCAGCTGTGGCTGTGACGAGGTTTCAAGCTGAGACTAAAATTACAGATTTTGATTCCAGACAAAGGCAACATGCTCTTGCCGCAGCTGCCAACCGCACCCACTCACTTTCCAGATCCATCTCACCATGTGCTTCTCATCTTTTGTACATTCAGTGATTAGAGTCGGCTCCAGTTGGTTTCAGTTAAGGTTTTTTGACCATGTATGATCAAAATAGATGTGAGTTGTACCGTTTCTTGCAATTCCAGGGTTACTTATTATCATTTGTACTAGTATTTTAATAAACATTTCATAGTTTCCAAAAACTACCTTTCCATTTCCCCAGCAATAAACTCTATTCTCATCAAAATCCTTATGCCTTTTTCTTTTTTATTGTTAGATTTTAAATATTAGGTTGTGTTTGGTACGGCATCCTCGAATAGAGAGTTTTTGTGAAATTTTTGTTAGTTTGTTTGATTAGAAAATTTCAATACTTTAGTGGATCGTGTATTTATGAACTTAACCAATTAAAATCTGCTTTAAACCTACAAATCCTTGATTATTAAGAACTGATAAACTTATCTCATTAATCGGGCAAATTTGTTTACCCTTTTTGTGGCATTTTAGGGGGGCTACAAGGCTAGCTTTTGGTCTCGTATCTTTAGCAATATATGTCTTGAGGAACATAAGAAACGTTTTTCGTACCCTAGAAAGTGCTGGATTCGTTATCGTTTTCGTTTTCGTTGTTGAGCTTTTCTAAATATTCAGTTTATGTGAGGACCAGATGTAAGAGATATGAAAGAGCTAAAGCTTTTACTAGCGCCTTTCGGTCTCAGCACAATAGTAGAGCAACGAAAGTGACGAAAATAGAAAGAAGTAGGAATTCTCGATGTGAAAACACAAAAACAAAGGATTATTATAGGGCACTCGGACTCGAACCGAGACGCTCAAGCAGCGTGTCTACTTATATCATCATTCATCACCATGGCGGCTTGCTACAAATCATAATAATTAGCCTATAAATATCAAGTGCTTAAACCCTGGATATAAATTTTTTCAGAGAAGAAAAGTTATATTTGATGGTGATTACATTACAGGTCATGTATTAGAATTAAATTTGCCTCCGATGCATTAAGTTATGGTTGGATAAAGGAACCTTTCAATCGCAATATGTATTAGCAACAAACCTTCAAGTAAAGAATGTTGATTACAGTGACATTCACTGGACATTATCAAACCAGTGTCCACATGGAGAATGTAGGCTGCTTCAATCAATTAATTCTGTAACTACCTAATGAATATGCTGGTCCATGTTTTCATTACTCATATAATTTATTCGAGAAAAATTTAAAGCATCTCTAGAAGAAAGATACAGATAGATGTGTGTTGGGTAACAAAACGAAAAAACCCATTATCAGAATGTTCATGAAAAGCTGAAAGCATAGGATTGCTTGATAAGATTAGTGAAAAAAGCAATTAAACTCAAATTGTAATATGAATTGTAGTAAGGTCGGACATTGTATTAGTTGCAATAAGGGTGTTTATTTCTGTTTATAGTTTTAATAGATTGTAGTGCAGAGCAACCTCTCGTTTAACATGTGTCCATTCCAGAACTTTAATGAGTGGACCGAACCATTAATGAGAATGGTTTTTCAAATACAAATTTCTCTTCCTACCATTTGTTTAATGGGCTAGGGACAGCCATGTGAATAATAGGAGAAAGAAGTGAAGGTAGATGTATCATAATTGCAGCAAAAAGGGATACTTTGAAAATCTCCGACAAAGGGCATAGAATTCTGGTAAATTTATTGTTGGAAGAAACTTTTTTGTGGTTAGAAGTAGAAGATCGATCAAATAATGGCAGTGATGGAGATGTTATAAGCCTAGAGATAAGGGTTGGACCACGTGGAACACAGAATGTTTAATGCTAACCAATTGGGTTGTAACTGGTGAGAGAAATAAAAATTGCTTTTGATGGGACATTGGACATGGGGTGAAGATGAACCATCAAACAATCGATAAAGCTTGAAAAAAGGCATATACATAGAAAAGGACCAGCGATTATATTCATAACCCTAAAAAGTCTGGAATATTTTGGCTCCTGATTAACGATTAACAGGGAAATCATGGTCCCTCTTTAAAATCGCAATAGTAACAGTAAATCCAGGGTTGTCAGACGAGTGGAGTAGCTTATGAGCTAGCTTGACTCAACTCGTCTGATGCTCGTTTATGGCTCGGCTTGAGCTCGCCATATAAAACGAGCCGAGTTCAATCAGGGGGAGGCTCGGCTCTAGGCTTGCGAGCATGAGTTGGCTCGCATAAGGAGGGTTATTTTTGTGAGTTTTATAAATTATGGGGGACTAAAGGGTTATATTCAAGTTTGAAAATTAAAAAAACATGACATTTAACCCCCCCTAAGTAATTAGTTGTAAAACAAAACCAAATCCCTAAACCCCCAAATCAATTTCCCCAAATCCACAAACACTAACGCTAAACCCCCAAATTGATAAATCCCTCCACCATGTAATCTCGCCATTTTCTTCCCTATTCTTGCCATCAGAAGCGGCGCAAACACCGATGCCGATCGATTGACGACATCCACGCTTCAACTTTCAGTTTTTCATGCTAACGCCAGACGAAATTTAGCCGTGAAACCATTTCTCTCCAACTCTAGTGCTTCAGTCGACGGGTTCTGCAAAAAAAGTGAGAAATTACTTCAATTCAGACTTAAATGGAGTACTACGGCTACATGACAGCCTACTAAAGTTTCCAGAACCCATTCTTGATAATTTTGCTTATTCAAAATGATTGCTAATTTTTTATTCCTTTTGATTGTGCCATTGGATAGTGATTGCTAGTTTAATTCTTCTGTGTATTTGGTTTGCTATAATATAAAGAGAGGTATAAAATTTTCTGACTTTGGCTACTGCCTTGTGCCTTCTATTTGTTGATAATTTTCTAGGTTGAGTCGAGTGTTGTTATTGTTGTGGTTTGATAATTTGAGGTTTATGCCACTATTTGTACTCCTGCAAGAGTACAATGTATTCTAATAAGCTTGATATTTTTGCTGATGTTTTTGAAACCTCAACCTTTGCATCTATAACAGATTGTTGCAACATGTAGGAGCTTCTTTGATTGTTTATTTCTTTGACTTATCATATATTGCATCTATCAGTATAATTCTTATTATATATGTTTCATATGGTTTGTTGATGATATGAGTTGAGCAGTTAATTGCACTTATATTAACGGTTGTTTTCATTTTTCAAATATAGGTATGGAAATGGAAGGCAGTTCCAAACTCCTCGACATTGGATGATGATACAATTACAGTAAGAGTGGTAGATCATTGTACCATGTATGCAAGCATGACTCGATCCACGGAACAAAGTGTTAGTAGCCCAGAAAATGTAGAGGAGAATGACAATCCACTTCACAGGAGAAAGAGAGCCAAGACATCAGCGGTGTGGACATAATTTAAGGAGATGGTTCTCCCTGATGGTACAAAGAAGGTGAGTGCATCCACTATAAAACCTATTAGATTAGATGCCCTAGAGCCAATCAATTATTGTAGAATTGACTCTTTGTAATAATGTTCATTGATCAATAAAAGACATTTTATTCTATATCAATCATCATTGTATGTATTGATATATGTCCTTAGAATGGTAGAACCGTGACGAGGGTATCAAGTGTTTCAAATCTTGATAGTGAGAACCCTATGAGCACATAAGGTGGTCATTCTAGAAACGTATGTAGGCCTAGTATTATTCTGAAGTAAGGGCATAGATAATACGGTAAGGCTATCATAGTGTTGAACGACCCTGTCGAAAGGCAGTGACTAATCTCACTTGTCAAGGTTGTTTGGTGACAACCTGGTGCAACACATGGATGCTTGCTGTAGGCAAGTTCACTAGACTGGCCCACTAGAGGATTCCATGTGGATGGTAACCCCAATGTCTATGGGACAAATCCTCTAACGAATGGTGGTGCATATGATTCTTAGACTTTAGATCACCAGAGCGCCTTGTGCACCGATTAGTATAGTTTGACACTAGCCTAACGCAGTTCTATTCAGAGCTGTCAATATGGTAGTGATTGGCTGCATCAAGGAGTGTATCAAGACTATGGTAGATTAACAGAGAATTCATCACTCCTGGGTACGGGAGAAGTTATCTTACGGCACAATTCAGTGAATGACAATTACATTAAAACTGTGGCCATAGTGGGATTTAGTTGTTGCTCGATCCAGTTTATAATTCAGGTCATTGGTCCAGTAACTGAATACATAATATCGAGAGTAACTGAGGTTGATACTATTTCTATTCCTTGGTCTTGTCGAGATAACGTATGATGAAAGGATTGGATTGTACGGTAACCATATCGTTGACAGGTAGTTTCTTCGCTAAATCTGAATCCATCAGGTGGTCATGATGCCTCACCAGGGCCCAATCTTGGTCTTTGTGTAGTGAGACGATTAATTGGTATTGATCGCGATACTACACACTGCCGGTATGATAAGGAGCCTATGGGTCACACACATAGAAGATAATTTAAGAACCTATTTAAAAGAAGGGCGTTTTCATCATTTTAGGCGAAAAGGGTATTTTAGTAATTTCACAGTGCAATTAAATTTGCTGAGGTGGTAGCATTTATTTAATTTGTTAATAAAATTAAATAAGGGAAATTATATTTAAATATGTGTTCGCATATATTTAAATGAATTATTGTTATTGTTAAATGTTAATATATGAAATATATATTAATTGAGTTTAATTGAAATAACAATAATGATAAAATATCTAATTGGGGCTGTTTGGATATATGGGCTATTTGGGTTGGTGCCCAAGCCTATTCCATGATGGAATAGGCCAAAGTGTGCACTATATAAGTGCAACACTTTTTGAGAAATAATAATTAATTCATTCAATCATTTCAAGAGAAATTCTAGCCCCTTTTCCAATTTCCACGCCACTTCATCTTTGATTGAATCAAAGTTTCATTTGTTTTTGTTCTTGGTTCTTAAGGTTAAAGAGGATCTAGCAAATCCCTCCTTTACTTCGTTGGGGATTATCTTCGTATGGACTACCGCTGGTTCGATCCTATTCTTGGGTCGGTAGCGAAACCCATTTCGAGACAAGTTGGAGGAGCCTCCAAACGTGGGTATGGTTTCTTAACCTTGAGCTGATTTTTCTGCAGATTCTAATATGTTGTATAAACCGTAAATTTGTGCCCTAATCTTGGTTCAAATGAACGATTTATGATGTTTATGTTTTTTTGTTTCCGCT